GGAACTCCATGGTCCAGAGGGTGCATCTGGTAAGGGTCTTGTTTATAGAGTCCCCAGGCAAGTGGGGTGTCACATGGTGAGAATGGGCTGAGCAAGAGAGAGCGAACCTTCTCACACTCTCTCCTTATAAAGTCACCAGAACCACGCCCATCACTCCGTGAACCAACCACGCCATTCACGAGGGCACAGTCCTCACAATCTAATCACCTCTTAAAGGTCCCTACCTTAAGGCTCCACCTTTCAGATACCATAATTGGATTTCCCAGCCTCGTAACACTGTTACAATGGGGGTCAAGTTTCCAATACGTGAACGTTTGGGGGACACATTAAACCCACAGCACCCAGTTTTATGTATTCTGTTATCAGCAACAGAAAACTGACTAATACATTCCAGATGTGTTTTTTTTTTGTGGGGGAGGGGAGTTTTAAAATTTTTATTTCAAAAGCTTGGGTAGCTTTATTTTGCCTTTTTTTGGTGGCTGGCTGGTATGTGATTCTGACATTTTCTGGTTAGTTTTCTTGTTGCTGTTATGGAGGGAAGAAATTTTTTTTCTTTTTTTTTTGCATTACAGGAAATGCATGAGACCATATAAAATTAAAAGGTGAGAAAAGCATGACACTGGCTTCCCAGCGTCAATTTACTCTTTGCCACCAGGGTCCACAGATCGAGGCTGCAGAGTGGCAGAAGGAAGCAGACCCCCATCTGGTTCTGGGTAACCTGGTAGTAGAATCAGCCCACAATGCTGCCCTGGCTTCTGAGACGACCCACACTGCCTAAAACAACTAGAGCTCTGGAAAGAGTAAACAGGAGAGTGATTTCCAGGGGGGGAATTTTAAATAAGATGCACATGGGACAGGCTGTAGAAAGTTTGCCAAACTAAATTTGGTACATAATTGTGTTCACTCCATATCCAGACAAAGTGTGTGTGGTCGGTCAGTTGGTCAGTTGTTCCTGCTGCTGCCTCAATATGGCTTGTTGTTATTCTGATGGCCACCACGTCTCTGGTTCCTGCCATAATTTGTACTACCCTGGCCTCCACCACAGCCACCAGTGCCTCAGTTTCCCTTGGTTGTTTCCAAGGCCCCCAGAGCCATAGAGCTGCTGCTGATAGACCTCTTTGGGCTGGGCCACCTTGATTTTGAACTTGCTTCCACTGATAGTATGGAACTTTTTCTCCAGGACCTTCTCCACAGGTTCTTCTTTTTCAAAGGTGGTAAACAGAAAACCTTGTCTTTTGTTTGACTTTGAATCCATTAAAAGCTCAATAGCCTTGACCTCCCTAAACTTGCCAAAGTACTTCCTGATCTTTTCCTCGGTGGCTTCAGGATTCAGACCTCCCACAAAGATTTTCTTCACCAGGTCCTTCCTCATAGCTATGGCCTTTTTAGGGTCAATGACACGACCATCCAGCCTGCGCTCCTTCTGGTCTAGGACCTTCCCCACACCGCCTGCATCTTTGAAAAGGATAAATCCAAGTCCTCTTGACCGTCCAGCACTGGGATCCATTTTTACTGTATAGTCAATAACCTCTTCAAATTTTGTAAAATAGTCCTTTAAGGCTGTTTTGCTGGTATCTCAGCTCAGGCCACCAACGAACAGTTTTTTCAGGCTCAGTTTCATTTCAGTTCCCTCTGTCTTGTGGATGTTTTTTTTTTTTTTTACCAAAGTCACTTCCATTTTCTTCTTTAATGCTCAGAGGCCAGAAGTCCCCAGCTGAGGATCATGGTTCTAATCTCTTGGGATACATTTTGGAGGCAGAGACAAATGGACACAGCAAAAGATGAGAATAACACAATTTTGGGTGTGGGAAACAAAGAATCAAGGCTAAGTCCTAGAGTTGGGGTTTGAGCATCTGGGTGGATCGTGATGCAGTTTATTGGGGAAGAGGATATTTTTAGGTGTAGATTCGGGAGTTCTTCTGTGGCAACATTAGGTCGGAGATGACAATGAGCCAGGATCACTTCCTGGCACATTTTGCTATGTGAGCACCACTTTTATTTTCCTTTAAGGGGATGCCCGAAGGCTGCTCTGATCAGAGACAGGATTTGACAGCTGAGAAAAGTACTTTTCTGTTCAGTTCTTGAAGAGGATGCAGGGCTGGCTGGAATTGCGATTCTTCTAATCTAGAGGAAAAATTATGATTCAGAGTAATACAGTGCCTTGTTCAAGGAAGAAAGGCACAGAGCTGGGGAGTCAAACCCAGGTCCACCTGCCACACTGCCATTCATTGTCTTTCTGGTCTGCCATGCAGCGCTGCGCAGGGTCTGCTGAGTTGGTGGTCACTGCGAGCTGAATGTTCAGGCTTCCTTCCTTATGCTTCCTACTCCTGGCTGTGATGCAACCCAGTGAGAGGCTAGGGCCCCAGCCTGGGTCTGGTGGTCTCACATAGAGTGTGGTAGACATAGTTGATTGGGTCTTAGCATCCCTCCCTCCCACCAACCGTTTATCCTGGTTTGTCGTCCTAATGCAGAGGCTGAAAAACAACTACATGTCCCAGATGCCCTTGCAGCTCTGGTGCTAGACGTAGAATTGGTTCTACCATTTAGAGATGCTCATGAGAGATTTGAAAAGTGAAAGTAAGGCCGTGTGTAAGTGTGTGTTTATCCTGCTGAGAAGCAGAGTTGTGGAGGTGTGGGATTTATTTTAACGAAAAAAAAATTTTTTTTTGGCAGCTGGCCAGCATGGGGATTTGAACCCATGAACTTGGTGTTATAAGGCTGTGCTCTAACCAACTGAACTTATATTTTAATGATTTTGTTTTGTTTTGGCAGTGGGTTGGTGTGGGGACCTGAACCCATGAACTTGGTATTATAAGGCTGTGCTCTAACCAACAGATATTTTACTGAAGCTTTGTTCTCCACTGGACCTATCTCCAGGTCTGTGGGTGTTGAGAGGTGTTCTTGAACTCCATGTTTTTGTTCTCCACGTTTCTCTCTGTACAGAGGAAGCAACCCCCTGGTGGCTCAGCTGTGTGGTGTCTCCAAGGGTCCTTTCTGGAAGCACAACCTAGTCTAGTGCTACTCAGTGTGCTGTCATTTGCAAATCATTAGCATCATCTGGGAACTTGTTAAAAATACAGTCTTGGCTTCCAGCGCAAACCTACTTACTGAATCAGAAACTGAGGGTGGGACCCAGGAAGCTGTGTTTTTTTTTTTTTTTTAAAAGATGACCGGTAAGGGGATCTCAACCCTTGATTTGGTGTTGTCAGCACCACGCTCAGCTAGTGAGCAAACCGGCCATCCCTATATAGGATCCGAACCCGTGGCCTTGGTGTTATGAGCACCGCACTCTACCGAGTGAGCCACGGGCCGGCCTCAGGAAGCTGTGTTTTAACAAGTTTTTCTAGAGATTCTTTTGTACATGAAAGTTTGAGAGCACTGGCTTATAGCCCACTCTGTCAGCCCCTCCAACAGTGTTGCAAGCTCCCAAATCCTTGTATTCAATCTCTTTCTGCTTAATATAGTAAGGGGATCTCAACCCTTGGCTTGGTGTTGTCAGCACCACGCTCAGCTAGTGAGCAAACCGGCCATCCCTATATAGGATCCGAACCCGTGGCCTTGGTGTTATGAGCACCGCACTCTACCGAGTGAGCCACGGGCCGGCCTCAGGAAGCTGTGTTTTAACAAGTTTTTCTAGAGATTCTTTTGTACATGAAAGTTTGAGAGCACTGGCTTATAGCCCACTCTGTCAGCCCCTCCAACAGTGTTGCAAGCTCCCAAATCCTTGTATTCAATCTCTTTCTGCTTAATATACTTACAGGGGTCCCCGCAGTGAACTCTGGCTGACAAAGTGATGTCTGAATTTTAAAGTTCAAGTGGCAGGGTTTGAATCCCAGCTCATTGCTTACTAGCCATGAGACCATGGGCAGGTGACTTTGTGTGACAAATTGTAATCTCCCATCTTACATGCCCTTCTATAATCCTACCAGCCTGCATCCAACAGGTAGAGTCTATATCCCATCCCCTTGCATCTGAGCAATGCTTTGTGATTGTCTTGACGAGGAGTCTGGAGGAAGTGACACTAGGTGACTTCTGAAGCTAGGTCATAAAAGAGCAGTGTGTTTTTCTCCTGCATTTACTTCTGCCTTGGTCTCTTGGGATGTTTGCCTCTTGGGGAACGCAGCCACAATGCTGTGAGGAATTCCAAGCAGACTACAGAGAAGCCCACACGGAGAGGCACTGGGGCCCTTGTTCTGATCAACTCCTGCTGAGCCCCCAGCCAATAGTTGGCAGCAACTTTCTGGTCAACTGTGAGCCACTAGCTGAGATGTTCCAGCAGATATCATGGGGAGCAGAGATGAACTGATTTGCCAAGCCTTGTACAAATTACAGATGTGGGAGCCAAAAACATAGTTGTTTTTGTTTTAGGCCACTAAGTTTTGGGGGATAGTTTGTTATGCAGCAAAAGCTAACTGATACACTTTATTTCTCTAAACTTTGGTTTGAAAGGGGATAAAAACTCAGACCTTCTAGGGTTGTTGAGAGGGTTCCATGAGATGAGGCATGTACTGGGCATGCTGAAGTGCTCCAAATGTCCGAGCTACCTTGTTATTCTGGGAAGACTACCACTTGGGTGCTAGCTCAGGCTGCCATCTCCCCAACATTCTTCCCTGGAGATTCCTGAGTGTCCTGCCGTCCATATTTGCAAGACGCCCCCCAGAGGATGGCAGCAGCTCCATCATGGGGCACCCACTCTGTGCCCATGAGATCTCCTTGAATCCTCATAAACAACCCTAAGGTGGGTGTATGGGGATCATGGGGAAAACATATGATCCCATTTTACAGGTGAGGAAATTGAGGCTCAGAGAAGACACATGGCTTACTCAACACCGCATGGTCAGTTAGTGGCATAGGCTTATCTGACTCCAACATCTTGGCTCCCTCCCCAGCATCCCCCTACTTCAAGATTAGATGCCCCTCTGTGTCCACCTCCACCCTGTAGGGAGGAGCCTTTCTTTGCTTGCTGCACATGAAGGTGAAAAAGGAACTCAGCAGAAACGTGCTAGGACAACAATTAATTTATTTATCGAGGGTGAGGCAGGGGAGAGGAGGATGGGGGGCGGAGGGCACAATCGCTCTTCCTCACAGGCTCCAGGCCTTGTTTCTCTCCCAGCAACAGCGCGCCCCCATCCCAGGTGAGCCAAGGCGGGCAGGAGCTGGGTGGAGTGAGGTCAGGGAGGAAGTGGGGTCTTATGGGAGCCAGAGAGCAGGTGGGGTCACAGGGGAGCTGGGGCCATGGGGTCAAAGGTGAGGCAAGGTCAGAAGTGAAGTGAGGCTCAGAGGGAGGGGTCAAAAGTCAACCAGGGCTTGGAGATCTAGAGGGGAAATGGGGTTCATGACGGGTGAAAGAGGGCTCCAGGGTGGAATTAAAAGTGGGGTTTGTGGGGTCGGAAGGGGTGAAGCAGGGCTCCTGAGCGTGTCAAAGTTGAAAGAGCTCGAAGGCCAAAGGCAGGTCAGGGAAGAAGTGGGCAGAGGTGACGTGGGCTCCAAGGGTATCGTCAGGGGCGGGGCCCAGTGACGTTCATGGGGTCGGGAGGTCAGAGGTGCGTCAGCCTTGCAGGGGAAGCGGGGTTCCAGGGGTCGGAGGTCAGAGGCGAGCCAGGGGCAGCCGCGGAGCCGCACGGGGGCCTAGGCCACCTCCTCCTCGGCCTCCTCCTCGAACTCGCCCTCCTCGGCCGTGGCGTCCTGGTACTGCTGGTACTCGGACACCAGGTCGTTCATGTTGCTCTCGGCCTCGGTGAACTCCATCTCGTCCATGCCCTCGCCCGTGTACCAGTGCAGGAAGGCCTTGCGCCGGAACATGGCGGTGAACTGCTCCGAGATGCGCTTGAACAGCTCCTGGATGGCCGTGCTGTTGCCGATGAAGGTGGCCGCCATCTTGAGGCCGCGCGGCGGGATGTCGCACACGGCCGTCTTCACGTTGTTGGGGATCCACTCCACGAAGTAGCTGCTGTTCTTGCTCTGCACGCTCAGCATCTGCTCGTCCACCTCCTTCATGGACATGCGGCCCCGGAACACGGCGGCCACCGTCAGGTAGCGGCCGTGGCGCGGGTCGCAGGCGGCCATCATGTTCTTGGCGTCGAACATCTGCTGCGTGAGCTCGGGCACCGTGAGCGCGCGGTACTGCTGGCTGCCGCGGCTGGTGAGCGGCGCGAAGCCGGGCATGAAGAAGTGCAGGCGCGGGAAGGGCACCATGTTCACGGCCAGCTTGCGCGGGTCGGCGTTCAGCTGGCCCGGGAAGCGCAGGCACGTGGTGACCCCGCTCATGGTGGCCGACACCAGGTGGTTGAGGTCCCCGTAGGTGGGGGTGGTCAGCTTAAGGGTGCGGAAGCAGATGTCGTACAGGGCCT